GCCATAGGCCTTATACAGCACAAGTTTTAGTATGCTTTTGTCACGAATAATTTTGAGTTGTATATGATCATCAAATTTACCAAATTTTCAAATATGTTTTTATGCCATTTATATTCCTTTATGAAATGGAGTATTCGACCAATGTTGCAAAATTAGATTATTCAAAATAATCCACCCCAATCCATCCAAATTTCATGACACACACACACATATATATATATATATATATATATATATATATATATATATGTCTGTTTGTGTGTCTTTAAATATAGTGATATTATTTCTATGTGTATAAATAGTTTCAACACGAATAAATACATTAAAGTCTGTCACAAGAGAGCAAACGCATCCAAATGAGTTGGCAAGCTAAATGTTAGAAAATGACAAAACACACATAGCCTCAAAACATTTGAAATCCAGTCGTTTTGCTGATCGTGTTATAATAATCGGAATATCTAAACGATCGTTTAATGATTTATTATAAAAAATTATGGGCAATTATTGCTTTCTTTGACGTCTACGTAATTTATTACAACATTGCGGAGCGTTATGAATAAAACTTTGTACAGGTTCTAGTATCTGGTTACCAAAATTATTAAAGATCTTCAGGTAAAAATACTAAAATTCTATGTTAAAATAAGCTCGTTATATTTTTTATAGCTTTTTTGATTTTGCCTAATATTGAAATTAATTTTAACCTTAGTATACCTTGAATATATTTTTGTAATAAAAAGTTATACAAAAAGTGCACCAAGCGTCATGTTATTGGGAAAAGCACAAAAGCTTATTGATTTTTTTTTGAAATCATTCGTATCACACGTGAATCTGAATCAATTTACAGTAACAAAAAAATTTAATATGATTAATAAGTATGATACTTATTTATAAAAGCTCAAAAAGCTCCAATATCAAGCTCACCAAAAATTGAGTGCTGGAGACTTCAATGATGCAATAGACAACGAACTCAGGGCATATAAAATAAATACTGGTGTCAAAAAGTACTATTATTTAAATTAGATCAAATTATTAGATTTAATCAAATATAATAGATTTATATTGTATACGTGTTAATATTCTAAAGGAAAAATCGTATTTTTTATGAGCAAAAGGTAAAATGGGGTTTGAAATTTATCGTTATCGGAAAATTATTAGATATATATCTTTATGGGTTCGAAAAATGGGCGTATATATCTTTTCATGATGTCTTGAAATAATTAAAAAGATTTTAAATTTATCCAAGTATTCATTTAAGTTCTTTCAAAGTCACGACCCAAAACTTCCAGCTAACGGAACCCAGGGCTTTTCTAATTGTTTGAAGTCCTTAAATTCTAGAATTTTAGTTGGTCCTTCAAGTTAATAAAAAAAGACGTCCATTAACGATGTGAGACTTAAAAGTATAGGGTAGAGGTTTGACAAAAAATCATAAAAATCACATGTATTTATTTTTCACCTGAATTTATAAATTTTCAAAAAAAAAATTACATTTTAGATGAAAAAGAGCGGTAATTTTAAAAATCACCACGTATCAAGAAAGAAGAGATACTGGCCAAAAATCTTTAAAATTCGATCTCTAAAATATATCTAATGAGATCCTTAGGGTTCCTAAAAGGTATTCCATTTCTATGGCGTAAAGGCCTTACGACCTCCTTTTAAGAGCTCTCAAATCATTTCTTTTAAATAAACTAAAACGATTTTTGATATCTTCATAAATGCATTTTTTTATGTTCATTCGTCTTAAATAACTTAATCCATGTTAATCGTATTATATCTTACTGCATCTATTAATTCTATTAATCTTATCTACTAATTTTGAATTTTATTAATCTTCTATTAATTTTGAATTCTAGAAGATTGCTTAGAATCACTTTATGATCAGATCGATTTGTCTGTATATTTAAATATATATAGATAATCTATATTAAACAGTTTTCAATAATAAATACTCCAATAATTTGATTGTATATTATTAAATTAAGTTATTTATTCGATTTCTCCGATCTAAATCGGACAAGATGCATATCCGAAGTTTAACAATGATTACGTATTTATTTGTGTTACAATAATTTCTGTCTATGTTCAATAGTGCGTTGAAAATATATTCTTATACTTATAATATAATAATCATTTAACCAATCATGTATAAAATCCGGTTTTTATGTTCATACTCTGTGATAAACAATTATAACACGAAACGTATTAAAAATATTTAAAACTTTAATACACAAACTATTTGTAAAAGATACCTTTCATTTCAGTTTATTCACCTCAACTTTCTTGGTTAAACTTTTAACCAAACCTATAGGTATAATTATGGTGACAATTCTCTTTTATAAATAATAGTAATAATAGAAAATAATTTTTGCTTAATTTCTGTCGGCGTGTGCGTATTTGAGAATGTACCTAATTATTATTTTAATTTTATCCCAAAGTTTTGTGTTTATTGTTTTTATAAAAACAATGTTTGGTTTTTTTGTGTTCCTGTAATATATAAAATAGTTCAACAATCTAATTTTTTTACTTCGACAATTTGGCTGAATCGAAATCTCAAAAATATGTTTCAAAGTCGAACAAAAATGCATTTTAGTTACATATAGTTATTAGAGCTGGATTAGAATCATCAACGTGTCAAATATCCCATTGAACATATTTTCTAAGAGATTTAATTCTGTGAAGAAAAAATCTTAAAAGGCCTAGCATGAAAAAAAATAGTAAAAGCTTATTTAGATAAATTATTTTAAGTCACCATGTAACATGTTGCAATAAAACTAGTAAATTGTAGATTAATTACTAATTTGAAATAAATTTAATTCATTAATTTCATAGATTTAATTCATTTAAAACACAGAATATTTAATCCATCCAAAGTAAAGTCAATGCCTGTAATCATATAGAAAATAAATTTAATATAATTGTGGGAGACATTATGCATTGAAAATATTTTTAATTGACGTTATTATTGTTAATTTGTAATATATACCAATTAAAGGTAAAAATTATAATAAGATAGTATAATTTATATTATACTAAATAGTAAATTTATTCCAATACACATGTAACTGCCACTCCACCACAATCGCTCAAGAGCACCTGTGAATCACAAGAACCACAGGTGAGAGGTTCAAATTCGTAAAATCATTCTAATGTTTCTTGAATCATTCAAATCGGTTGATCCGTGCTCTCGAAATCGTCGACAAAAAATTGTATCCGAACATATGTACACACATGCATACATACACACACATACATAAATTTTTACTAACAATAAGGTATGCCAAAATGATCAGAAACCTTTAAAACGCAAAGTTATTTATAAATTATCATTTTCGATTTTTTTGCGATTACTATAACTTACAAAACGGAAAGTTATACATATACACTAGTTATATATAGTTATATATAACTAGTATTGTTCGGACGTATTTTCGTTTTTTTATATTGGCCATGAAGGTGACAATCTTCAGGGCATTGAACTTTCACACAGGATGGTTGCTACCCCTGATGGGGTAGCGGAGAGTTTAATGAAACTGATTGTTCACTTCTAAAAGTAAATTCCACTTAACAACATGTTTAATAAATAATATATATATATATATATATATATATATATATATATATATATATATACACTATATGAGTTATATATATATACACTAATATAACTGAGACAAATTTAAATCTGATAATGAAGTTATGTTATTAAACTGACCAACCATCCTGGTATGACCGGGACAGTCCCGGATTTCCACCTTGTGTCCCGAGTTTTTCTAAAAGCAATATTTGTCCCGGGTTTAAATTTTTTGTTCCGGATTGTCCCGGGTTTTGACTTGCCTGTAATAAGTGCTAATTATTTTTAAATAATTATGAAGAAAATTGAACAAAATTGTATAAGTTTGAAAGTTAAAAAAATATATGTAATAGACGGATTTTTATAGCATTCTTAAATAGTGGTAAAAATAAAACGATTTCTTTAAATATATTAATTTATATTAATGTTGCTTGATTCGCGATCTGGAGGCAAGAGGATTTATTCTAGATAGATTTTAACATAAATATAAAAATGGCGGATATATGGAGATGGTGGGAGAAAAACACCATTACCAACATCACAAATAATAATGTGTCCCGCCATTGTGAATTACAAACGTATATATATACATATAACATTAGATTTAACATCATAACATGTCATTACATAAAAAGGTGACAAACAATTTTGTCAAAATAGTATTTGTTATTTTAAAATCACATTAAATATTTCAGAAATCAACTTCCATCCCCCGTTCCGGATTAAAAAATATATGGTCACCTTAATGTTATACAATTGGCAATAATTGGAAAAATACAAATACAATTGGCAATAAAATAAAAAAATATATTTATCTCAATATTGTTGGTATTATGATAATATCATTATTTGCGTGTGTAAATTTTAAACGCCTAATATTAAAATTAAGCGAGCATAGCTCACTTCTATATAGGATCAAATCCCATTATTGAAATAAATAATATAGTTAATTTAAAATTAAATAGAATTTGATTTGTTGAGTAGAATTTGAATAAAAAATTAGAAGAAGAAAAGCAAAATCAGAATTTATGAAGATCAGATTTAGAAGTAAAGCGTAGAATGAAAAAATCAGTCGTAAAGAGCAAAAACATAGAATATGATATAAATAAAAAGAAGGTGTGGGTGACAGATAATTAGAGGGCTAGTCCTAAAAAATAATAGTAATAATTGGTAACAAAAGAGGTTGAAATAAAAGTCCCTAAACCTAAAGTATACCACCCGTGCTATCACAAACACTTTCACGTAAACCAATAATACATATAAACGACATTAGATTTGTCTTATGTTCAACCGGACTAACACATTGAAACCTCAGCAATTCTCGTACTAGCAAACGCACCGGATCCCACTTCTCTCACCGGAGTGAATTTAACAAAATTTCGCCTATATAAAGCCAACGGGCGCCCGCGACCAGATTCAGTGCTGAGTGAATCGTGGAGCCATAAAAAATAATAAATAATAAATATTTAAAAAAAAATCATTTATAAAAATTTGTAGATCTTCTTGTATTAAATAATTCAAAATGTTCAAAAAGTGTCTAGTGTTCATTGCGATGTTCGGAGTGGGTATGTATCGATTTTTTAATAATAATTATGTGATTTATTTTGATTAATTGTTGCAATAAGGTGGGTTAATTTAATTGAATTTAGTTGGTAAAAAATAAAATTTGGATTTGGATTGTGGAATATAGTTTTTTGTGATTGGGTTATTTTGATCTTACTGAAATATACCTCAGAAGCACATTGGACAAAATAATTATATATATATATATATATATATATATATATAATTAAAAGTTAAAATTGAGAGGCAGTAGACTTATAAATGCAATTGATGCAATTGATTTGCATTTTCAAAGCTCAGCTTATTATACCCAAAAATTTTCAAAGTTATTAACTAGAGATTCATATTAATTGCTTTGTCATATATTTCAAGGCGGGAGTATGTTCACGCCTAACAAAAGCATCCTATATTTTGATATGAAAAACAAAAAAATCTATTAAAAAATCATCACAAATTAAATCAATCAATACAATACATTAAAAATTTTGAAAAATCAAATTTTTAAATTTTGGAAAAGCTGAAAAAATCAAAAAATTTATAATAAAATTATTCTGTGCAAAATCTCTGATTGATCTTCTTTATTGATTGCACCGTTTGGGCCTAAATTACAAGTACTGCAAATACTGATAAGAAAAGCAACTAAAGTATTAAAAAGTTTATCAAATTAACTTTAAAATTCAATATATATTATCAAGAATTTATTTCAAAAATATTATTCTAATATATTTCGTAAAAAAGAACACCGTAGTAAAATTTTAATTGTTAAAAATAAAGTGTTAATAAATATTTTTAATAATGTTTCTTTATTCAATTTTACGGTTGTGTTTGCAATGCTTTTATTAATTTTTTTATATAATTTGGTTTCGCTAATTAGACGGATTTAATTAAAAATCGATACTTTGCAATTAAATGATGAAATTATTAGACTTTGATATTTTAGATACACTATTTTGTTTATGTATATAAAAGTTTATGTAATAAAAAGTCATAGCACCCTTAATCTATATTGGAGCTAATTTAATTTAAATTAATTCTGTTTAATATTATTCTAACAAAATTCTTGTTGCTCAGTGTACTTTGAATGACTGTCCTAGATATTTTTTTGCGTTTAAATTATTAATTAAATTTGCATATTTTCATTGAAATCAAGGGTTGGCCTCCCCGATTTTTTTTGTTCAATTTTTATTTTTTTCAATAATAAGTATTAAAAAATACATATAACCCCATATTTTCACCCTCTTACCAAAAACCCCCATTTGGTAAAAATTATTACAGTAATTACATCATTTTTTATCTAGAATTTGGCAGTAAAGGTTTTTGACTAAATTTCGAATTGAGCGTATAAAAAAGCTCAATTTTACATGAAAAAATTATAAATATTTCAATACACTATTTTTAAATTCTGCATTTACAAATCATTACAATCACAGATAATCATTATATTAAATTTTTTGAAATCTATTTCATAGTTTTTAATTACTAACCAACGCCTAAAGTTGATATTTATAAAAGTGTTCAATTTTGTCGTTGATATAAGTGATATATGAAAAAACTTTCAAAAATTTGAAAATGCATCTGGAAAAATAAAATATTATTAATTTTCATTATATATAATTACAAATTTGTCGAAATAATTTATTCAGTCGTGCAATATCTAATAAGCATCATTGTAAATAGGAGATAACATTTTTTCTTAATAAAGTTTAATACACATTTGAAAAATTTCTTAATCACTCAGAATTCTTTGCACATTTCAAATAATTCCAGAAAAATACAAATTAAATAAAATTTAATTTATTAAAAATTTTTTTAGATAAGTGTCCAAAAATATTATGGCCAATATATTTATAAATGTGATAAAATGTATGTATTTATACTTGTCTTTTCACCCATATTACTCGACAATTAATTATGAATATTAGCAGTAATTGTAAATTTTAATTGAAACATAGTTAAAAGCAATAATTTAATTAATTATAATTCAAAATAAAAACTAATATAAAAACAATAGAAACTGTTATAACCAGAAACTCACTATCGGTTGCATTATTTTCTATTCAGAATTTTTTATAACAAAAGTATTTTTATTAAGTTTAGTTTAACACAATGGTCATGAATATTTTGTAAATAAAAAAATAATTTTACCACCGTTTGAAGAAATAGTTCTGAATTTTAAATACTAATCCCAGTATTAAAATATTTCCTATAATTAGAAATACTACATCGATTACTTAATTGTCTAGAAATACAAAACCGGCAAGACTATTGCAAAACGACTTGCACAAAATTACCATATCTATATTTAAACAAAACATTAACAAAAGTTTAGCAATTATATAAATGTCATACAGACAACTAAAATATTTAGACGACTCGTCGAAGAAATGCGAAAGTTTTGAAATTATTTACATAATACTAAATCGGTCGTAATATCGTAAAAATATTTCCAGATATAATTTACACGTGAATGAATAATAATTTTATGAACGATAAATGTAATAAAATTATTGAACATTAAAGAAGATAATAAAAAAATGTGCATTTAATTGGAAGGGTTAATGTATTATAAATCAATTTAAAAAGTGTTTTAATCTGGGAAATTTTATATCTTATTAACATAAATTATCAAACATATTACTGAAAATGCCAATAATAAGATATAATTACTAATTAACACTAAACGTTGTAATAAGCTACTTTTATATTTGTATTTCTAGTTAGATTTATGTTTCTTAAAAAAATATGTAAGTTTTTTGTAGATGTTCAATCACGACGTTTCGGAGCTAATTACGTTCCATCATAAAGTTTTTTCTGTTAAAACCAAAATTTTTTGGTACCTATATTACTAAATAATTTTGAGTGAACAGTATGTCAAATTTTTTTGTACAGGAACGGATTATGAATTTGATGTTAACAGATTTTTCTTTGAAAATTTTATTAAATATTAATTAAATATTTGTCATACCTATATTTATGCATTAAAGATTAAAGTCCTTAACAAAAAGTTTACATTAAATTGAGCCAATTAAAGTATAGATTAAGTTTGGTAAAATTCACCGAGAAAGTGTATTCAAAATAAATAATAGAAATAATTTTAAGTAATTACTAAAAACACAATTAGTAATTAATACTAAATGTTACAATAAACTGATTTTATATCTTATATTCATATTTTATATAATAGTTGTTTTACGGTTTCACGAATTATTAGAACAATATATAAATTTAATTGGATTATTAATCAAATAAATAAAACTAAATATAAGTAAAATATATTTATGATTTTTATACTTTATACTCCTTCAAAATTATAAATGAAATTAGCATTGAGTATATAAAATATATAAAAAGGGGGCATTCCATATTCCTGAAACTTCTATATATTCACATATGGAAAAAATATTACTATTTTTAAAAATATAGCACATTTTAGCTTTCAACGAAAATAGAAGAATAAAATGATTTTTATTAAACAAAGTGCAATAACTTCAGAAATGAAGAAATTAGCAAGTCTGGTAGTATTCAAACATGCATTTACAATGGCATTCGATTGTATCTATGAAAACGTGTCTAGAAATTTATATATATATATATATATATATATATATATATATATATATATATATATAAATACAAATATATACATACATACATATACAAACATACATACATATGTGTTAATATAGTTAATAATTAAATGTTTTATACGCCTACATATGTATCTTATATTTTCATGATTAGTTTTGTAATCATTAATTTACTCACGATTCAGAGTTTTTTTCATTTTTAGCTTTTCATAGATACCTAAAATTATTTATGACTTTATTTCTCAAGCTTAGAACCTCACATAATAGGAAAAATATTATATTTAATTTTTCATAAATAATTATTTCGACGTTTATTTAGTTTATATAAAGTTCTTTAAGAACTGTCAAAATAAACCATATTTTTTTACATTTATACACTTCATAAGTATTTCAAGCGTACTTTGAAATTTTAAATTAAAAAAATACTAATTGAAAATTCACTAAAAGGTATAATTGCTATTACATACTCTGATTTATAGGTGGGGGTAAATTGAGAGATTATATATATATACATATATATATATATATATATATATATATATACGTGTGTGTGAGTTTATCCGGTGTAAAATATTTGCTAGTATGAATTTGAATGATACAATTTCACAATATTTTCTTTGTAGAATGCAAGACCAGTTTTCTAAACGATCTCCTTGTTGAAAGTAGAGCACGCGCCGTGTAAATATGTATAAATTAATATATATATATATATATATATATATATATATATATACATCTTATTATATACATATTTACCTATGTATAAATCTATACCTATCTATTGAAAAGTTCTAATTCAAACCTCACAAAAATTTAAATAGAAGATTACTAATTCTGTGTTAGAGGATTACTCTTATTTAATTGTTTTATTCAATTATTATTTAATTGATATAACGTTATATTATATAGACATTTCATACTTTAGTAAAGTTCACCTGTGATTAATTAAATTATAATGATGATTCTAAAGTGATTCTGAAATACTATAATATAAATAAGGAAATTGTGATTCCAATAAGAAGCTGCTGATGTATCTATAGGATAAGTGACCATCTACTGGTGACTATATTATATTTATATTTTCTATTGCACGAAATAAGATATTTCTAAAAATATATTCTTTAAATATATTTCTTAAATTAAATAACGTATGTTTATATTCAAAATACCCCAGGTGTAAAACAAAAAATTTCTAAATCCATACTCTTCAATAACATGATTTGCTCTTAAATCAAGTAACATTTCTATTAATTTTCCTTATATTCAAAAAACCCTAGATGTAAAGCAAGATATTTCTAAAACCATATTCTTCAATCATAGTATTTGCTCTTAAATTAAGTAATATTTCTAATAATTTTCCTTATATTCAAAATGCCCCAGGTATGAATCAATAATCATTCGAAAGCAATAAATAA